TGGAATGTTACCTTACTATAGAACTGGTTAAAATCAGTTTGGAAATAAAAATAATTAAAATAATTACAACTTTACAAGAAGAGAGAAATTGACGAAGTTGCCCCGGGTATAGGGGCAAGATCGGCAACTTCTCTCTTTTTGTAAAGTTGTAATTATTTTAATTATTTTTATTAAAGTTGCCCCTGGTATAGGGGCAACAGTAATGGGGCAAGATAGGCACGTATATAAAATTATGTTATTAACAATGTATAAGTTGGAATTCACTATTAAAACAAAGAAATACAAATCCAACACCCATTTAATATTATTACAACGAAATGCAAGTTCAAAGACATATATACATGAATAACAAATGCAAACATGTTTTCATTTATCATCTGTTTGATTTTTATCCTTTGCTTCTAATGTGGCTTTATGTTGCCGATCTTACCCCGCTAGTCATGATTTCGAAACATTAAGTACAACCCTGAGAACAGAATGCCAAGCCACGATCTGGCCACGTGAATAAGTTGAAGTTACATCCTTCTAACAGGAAAAGTAACTTTCGTTATCATGGAATTATAACAAAACCTGCCAATTCAATATAAATGGAAAAAAAATATTATATGGAATTGAACGAAAATGAAAATTTGCTTGATAATTCAACTACGCTTGTTGGAGAACAATAAAAACACTACACTCAACAAGCCACCAATAAAACTCAACTGCCTAACCTATAACCAAAGTCTCCTTTTAATTTGTTTTTTAAAAAAAGCGCTTGACAAACTTGCCCCGCATGCCGAAGTTGCCCCGGTCTCCCCTATAACTACTAGACCACGAATCGGATAAAAGTTAACGTAGAAACTAGCGCCGCCGTCTGAAGCTAAAGAAACTAGACGCCGCCATGACAGTCTAAGGCAAAAAGTGCATATGTTGTGGACAGGTTGTTTGTGGTGAATTATGGTAACTATTTCTGACGTACTTGCAATTTATTTAGACTCGAGTGTGCGGGGATCGTCACAGAAGCATAACAGGTATGCCACCGAGTTATAAAGTAGGATCTGGTATCAGGTTTCACCAGTAAGTTAGATATAGGCTCAGATATAGTTGCTGTGATACTATATCGTCGGTTGGCGATCAAAATCTCGTAACTCCTTCTGAAGAAATATTTCTGGAGAAACATTAAACTTCCTTCAGAAATCCGTTATTACCCTATGTTGAATTTTTTTGTTTTTGTATTGAACTAGGTTTGACTGGGGTCCTACGAGAGTTTTACAGATCACGAGAAACGTGTTTCGTTATCCACTAATGTTGTATTTCAAATTGAGCAATTATTGAAGTTACCAAGTAATAGTAGTGTTCTTTGCAGTCGGCACTTTGAACCTAATTGTTGTTTATAAACACACAATGGATCACAGAATGGATACACCTATTTGCATGAAACATTGATTCCTACAAAGTTTGATTTTCTTCAACATCTACAGAGACAGCCAGTAGTGCCACGAAGACTACTAAAGCAAATAACTTTGGCTAACATAGATGATGATACCCAACAAATTTGATGATACCTATGATGAGCGGAATGTGCAGCAGCAAAATAAAGCTCAAATGTCTGATCCACCACATCAGATAATCAGGCTCTTGGTGTTTCTGTAAGACAAATGTATACCAAACTTGTTCATTTTAAAAGTCAATAAATTACGTTTATTGACGGGTTACTGCATTTGAAAATATTTATGGGGTTGTCCATAAATTATGCCCACATTTTTCTTGAAATTTTTACTCCTCCTTTCCTCTTATCCCAGTTTTTCCAAATTTTCGTAACTCCTTCCTCTCTTCGAACGTACAACAAAATTCGACTCTCCTTAAACCTTTTTCACTTTACGAATGATAGATACCATAAATAAAAACGAAACGTACAAGAGATTTTGAAATAAATATAATAAACTGCATAAAACTTTATAAATTTTAATGAGATATACGGACGTCCACTGAAACTCAACTCCCATCCACGTCCGATTTTTGTACGACTTGTCTTAAACCCCTCCTCACTCTCTTCCAGTATGGGCGTCATTTATGAACAGTCCCTAAGAACGGTTGTATATTATCCAATACAGACACTCCTCGATTTACAAAAAAACTCCAGGAACCAATCGTGTTCGTAAGTCGAAGAGCGTCTATTTTTTTTTTGTTTTTTGTATTCCTTAATTTGGCGAAGTGTTCAGCCGATATAAATAATAACTTAACTACTGGTCAAGGGCGTCGCCAAGGGAGGGCAGGAGGGAACAGCTGTCCCCTAGAAATTCGAAAAAAATTATTTAAATGCTAAGTTTTAATTAAAATAATCTTCTTAGGCTTCTTGTAAATTAAAAAAAGTTTTAATTAAGATGTTTCTTCTCCGGTACATAGCAAATGATTAAAATTTTTTATGAATCGTTTTTATTTTACCTACATACAATTCATATTCTCTATCAATTTATATCATCTTGACCCCCGGCCCATTGTAATTTGCAGAAATGATAAATAATAAATGAAATTTATTATTTATCATTTCTGCAAATTACAATGATGAATAAGAAATTGATAAATAATAAATAAAATAAATAATAAAATGATAAATAATAATAAATAAAATGCAGAAATGAAAATGGTGTATTTATGTGATGAACGGTCGTATCTGTATTAGGTATTTCCTGCAGGTATTCAAAGATGACGGCCCGGTTCGAGGTCTAGTAGTTATATGTCGTTGCTTTTAACGGTTGTTTGGACGATATGATGTCATGGTGGTGGTCACAGTGACGCCATATCATCATGATCAAACACAATATCAATTCACAATAAAATATCGTTATGATGAAATTTAAATAGACGTCATATCTCATATTCTAGTATATGTATAGTAATTTTAATTAATTAATTATATTTTTTCGTAAATTACTTATTGGAGAACACTGTATTTGACACGAAAAACATTTTTTTTTATTCCAGTAATAATCACATGAATTGATTATGCAGATATTCAGCTCAAATGATAATTTATCTTGTAATTACATAAATTAAAACTACACCGGATATTGATGATAAAAAATTTTAAAGCAAAAAAAAAAAAAATTTAAGTTTCAAAAAGAAATAAATTTCAGTGCAAAATCAAATTTTAAGAGTTAATATTCTGGTCACTGTGGTTAGTTGTTAGTTTAAAAAAAAAAGATAATAAAAACCAGGTTGCTGACCTTTGTTCTAATCTACATATAATTTAAAATAATTTTATTCATAAGATAAAACTTATCTCATAATTATATTAATTTTATAAAAAAAAATCTTAAAAGCTAACTTAAATATTGTTAAATAAAAAACTTTATCAACACAAAATCTGTTAGATATATTAAACACGTGTTATTTCCATATTTATTATAAAACTTGTACCGTATAATTCCAAATTTAACCATAAGTTAAAACAATTTCAATAATTTTCTTGCTGCCCAATTATTAAAATGTAAAAACACGAAAATTTTTATGCTTTAGATCAGTGGTTCCCAATTAGTGGTACGCGTACTCCTGGGGGTACGCGCGGCAATCTAAAATCGGTCGATTTAAAATTTAAATGCACGACATGAAGCAATCAAAAGAATAATGGGTGGACCATCAAAAATTCGGCAATTTACAACACGATGTCGAATGCACAAATTCGTTTATTTATAACTAAAAATATTCTCGAAATTTCATTAAAAAAAATGCATTTGTGACAATACCTAAATGAAATTCTTACGCAAGATACAAAAATTGTACAATTATCATTATCATCTTGTCAGCGAAGCGGCAATAAAATATTTACTACCATTTTGCACAGCATACCTCTGCGAGAGCGGATTTTCGGCCGAGACAAACATGAAAACTAAACATCGTCATCGACTTCGACTCGAAGATGACTTGAGACTGAAGCTGACCAAAAAGCAACCATATTTACAAAGTCGTGCAAAGAAAATCGTGCACATTTGTCGCATCAAAATTAAATAACCTTATGTTATTTTCATTATTATTAGAATTGTATTTTAAAGGTAATAAATGTAAAAAAAAATTATTCTATTTATTACTAGCTGTCTACCCACAGCTTCGCCCGCATTATATTGAATTTTCTCGTGGGAGTAAGATATTTTCTCGCAGTAAAATGTAGCGTATGTCCATCTCCAACATGTAAGCTATCTGTGCCAAATTTTATTAAAACCTGTTTAGCAGTTTAGACGTGAAAAGGTAACAGACAGACAGATTGCCTTCGAATTTATAATATTAGTATGGATTAATATGGATTTCTGCTATAAGGGGTACGTGAGTTTTAGCTCTTTATTGAAATGGTACGTAGGAAAAACTAATTGGGAACCACTGCTTTAGGTCATTTCAGAAATTTTCACAAGAGGAAAAAACAGTCAAAATTTTTATAAATTATATTTAAAAGTAGCATAATCTATTTAATTAAAAACAGGAAAAAATTAGAAACAAAAATTTTCTTATTTCATATGTTAATATTACAATCCTAGTATAAGGGTATTTACAGATAGTAACTTAGCACAACAGGATTTTAGGGGATGGATCAGTTCATAATGAAACGATTAATTGAACGAAGTGATTAGAATTAATTACTGTTTTATTTGCTACACAAAATTAACGAAACTTTGCAAGCCAATAGAGATTTTTATGTTTTATATCGTTCTACAAAAATAATTTTAAAAAATTGTACTTTATGACCACAGTTTTCTACATCGTTTATTTCCTTGCACTTTCCCTCGCGGAATCCTTGTTTACAATTTAACTAAAATAAGAATATATTTATTACATTAATTTTTAATTAATGAAACAAAATTATGCTGATTGATGACGTAATATATTTTATTTAAATAACAATTAAATTTTGTTTAACATATATAATTCAGAAATTTAGGAATCATGTTATGAAGAATTATAAATAATTTTCTCATTATTTTCAACATCACTTCAAATTTCATTCAAAATACAGTATTCGATTTTGATAATCGAATAACACTTTCAACTTTCAAATTTTCTGACAGTTTAGGAAAGCATTAGTAAATTCTTATCTTCCACACCCTTGTTTTTTTAATTTTTATTTTTTTAATTTTTTAAATCAAAAATAATGTCTTCTTTTTCTCGAAGAGACAAAAATATAGGAAGTTATTATCTTCCACCATTTTGCTCAAAAATTTCTTCAACTACTTATGGTAAGAAATGGTTCCATGATGATCAAATGGATCATGTACCTAAAACTGGATGCTATAATTATACAAGGGTAAGTTGTGTGTCTTAAAAATCTTAAACGAAAATTGACAAGATTTAAAATAATATTAGAATTTCATCGTTCCTGTTGTCGATAATAGAAAGATATATATATATATATATATATCTTTCTATTATCGACAACAGGTACATGATATATATATATTATTATCCAGTTTAATGTAACTTCA